AACACCGAATTAAAACCGCGACCAGGATTAAACCCGAGAAAAACATTCGTGCTGGATTAAGCCTCTACACTCCTCCGTGCCTCCACCCCAGTGAACGGACAAGATTCTGATTCAAGATTCAACGACAAGATTCAAAGAACTGTCCATCCAAGAACTGTCCATTCAAGATTCAAAGAACTGTCCATCGACAAGGTATTTATCAACCCGCGATTCGGTTGTAAACTCTCTCTCTCCGCGGCCTAGTATCGTTAAGAACAATAATATCCCGATAGTATTTAGTATCTCTGTATAGTATTTAGTTCGACTTAATTAAAATCGTTATTTATTTGTTACTATGGAGTCCGAGTAAGTTACTTCCGCGTCTCTCTCCTCACCTCTACTCCGAATCCAAGCGCTCACACGCTACCGCTCGCGAATCTTTAGACGTAACGTCGCGATTTCTGAGTCCCCCAGAGACTCGGTGGTGTCAGATTCAGGTCTCCTGACAGGGCGCCAAAGAGGTGCCGACCCTACGGTCACATACTTGAACCAGTCAGTTTGACCAAACTGACTGGTTCAAGTATATTTTAACATAGTATATGATTTCTGTTTAAAGCTGACTTTATTTACAGCTCAGAGGAAGATTGGTAAGATCACGTTTAGAAAAAGACGATATTTTTGCAATAATAAAATACCAAAATAATAAACTACTTAATCTTCTTCCTGTGATAGGTGAAGCCTTTGAAAAAATAATTTTGACCAGACTAATGTGGTGTGCTGATAAGTTTCAGTGGCTGGACAAATATGAATTTGGTATCAGAAAGCATAAGTTAAGAAAAGATGTCATGTCATTACAGATATAACAGAAACTAGACTGAATAATAAATCATTCACTACTACAATATTTTTTGATATAAAAGGAGCTTTTGGAAACTGCTATTACTTTAACATATTTAATGAAATTTTAAATTTAGATTTTCCCAAATATCTTGTTTTTATAATTCGTAACTAAGAGAAAAAGTAATATGAATCATCACTCTTACATAATAAACTTCTTACTAATCTCGCCCTCAAGGTGGACTCTTGTCTCTCTTTTAAAAAAGTGGTTTTGAATGCACTGTTAAAATTTAAGCGTGACATATCTATAAATGTTCAAGTTTATGCGATGACCTTGTCGTCATTTGTTAACATAAGGGCATTCATATTGAGGAAAATAAATTATAACGAAACATGTTGTGTACAGTGTCTAAATGAGCCTTTGTTAATTATATCCAATTATGTACTACTAACACAAAAGTTATGCTCTTCACTAAGAAATATGAAGGTACATACCCAAATATACTAATAACCAGCCTGTAATGTGTCAAAATATCTCTACGTGAAAGCATTCAATTTTGACCATTTTCATGACTACTGGCTCATATATACAAGAAAAATCGTTTTAATACATTACGTTTTCTCAGTACTATGTAGCACCGATAATGTTATAACATGCGTACAGTGCAGAAACACGATTGTATCATAAAACTGAGAAAAAGCAATATCAGAGTATATGTGAAGAAATGTTGCAACATTTTATTTTTATCGGAATGAAAACGAGGTTAGAAATTTGAGTGGTTATTCGAGTTTTTCATGCAATTAATAGAGCCCATCGATATGCGTAAAAAATTAACGAAAAGACAAGTTGACAAAATTATTCATATTTTTTTACAAAAATAGAAGACCATACACTTCAAACAATGCCGTGATCATGCATTAGAAATGCAAACAAGCGATTCATTTCCACCTACTTGACAATTTGATTACGATTCTTCCTAATTTGCATTCGTTTGGATTAAAACGATTTTTATAAATTGCAATGTTGCAGAAAAAAAATGGGATAATCATATTTAATACTCACAAATTTGGATCATCATGTTCGAAGTGATTGTACCTAACATTGTTGCTGGGGTAAATATATTAACAAACATTAACAATAATCACGATGCAAAGTAGCATATATTGCATGTTTTATATGATGTATGTTACATTTTTGCAAGAAAACAGCTTGTCCATAAATCACAATTTAACCCGCAGATTACACAAATTTATTAGTACAAAATTAACGAAAACTTACTCTTATTACAATGTAGTAGGAAAAAGGCAAGACACCATCCATGTTATCCACATCTTTTGAAAACCGATTTAAGATTTTACCTAGAAAATTTCATAATGTTATATATAAATTAAATGACCTAATTATGTAATTTATTTTTATTTTAGTATTGTTATTGTTTAAACCGTGTACTAAGCAATATATCTGTAAGGCAAAAACAGTCTTAGATTTTTGTACGTGTAACTTTGTATAATATATTTATTTGTTGACACAAAGTATTTAACTAGAGTGTTCTTATATATACACAGTAAAAACCGTAATATATGCTTATATAAACTAAGTATGAAGTTAGACTCATATAACAATTACAATTTCTTAAATTTCAACAATTTCCTTGTTATAAAAACGTAAAATCTTTAAAAAATATTCTTCTTGAACTTTCCTTCAGTTTCAACGTCTAACATCCCTTAGTAAAATTTTACTGCAGAAAATTCATATCTCTTTTATTTTAAGTGTTTCTAAATGTTTACAAATATCTTATTATTATACTGTGTTTCTGCACATCGTAACAAAAAAACAAAAATTCTATTTTATGATATAGCATGAAAAGTGTATCCCAGCTGAAAAAAACTTATTGTTTCTTGAATGCTTTATCCTGGCGGTTTCATTATCCTGATGTTTTTCTCTTGTATTACCTTGACAGAGAAGGCACTGAAATAAGGTTTTAAAAATTTGGCATCTTATGAAGATAACTTGTAAATTATCCTTTCATTAATTAGATGCAAAGCAATGTTACATGAGTTTTTTCAAGAGGAAAATTTTATAAAGTTGTTTTCACAACACCTAAAATGTAATAACTTCGTAAATACTTGAGTTGCAGAAAAGATATTACGAAGGTTGCGGCCAAAGTTTACGAGAAGAAAACGTGTATGTCGGACGTTCTGCACCACCATCCTGTAAGCCTAGAAGTTAGACAATGGCGTTTGGAACGACGAGAATGATTCCACTGACGTTCCAACCGCCATTGTTAAACTTCTAGGCTTACAGGATGACGGTGCAGAACGTCTGACGTACACGTTTTCTACTTGAAAACTTCAGCCGCCACCTTGATAATAAACCAGCACGAGTCATTCAACTTTTCTGACAACATTACAAACTTTCATAGTGCGATTTGTTATCATATTTTATTTTAAAGCTTTTATGGTTTTAACTATTATAAAATAGCAAAAAGCTAAATTTTCAGGTAGGAATGGGTTAAATAAATAATTGTAAATGCTAATAACGAAAAAAATCGACATTATCTCCAATCTTACTAGACACACTCATGACACAATTATCTTTCACTTCTTTTCCTTTGAGCACCAAAATTTAATAGCATCAATCCGCTAATAAACAAACCTCCCTGAAAAATTTCATAAATTTTTGACAGAAACTACAGGAAATTTTAATCTTCAAACACGGTGAACAAATTCATGCTCTTCTACACACTGTTTTCGTGCATACAGAAACAACGTACAAATTTTTTCTTCTTTGCATTTTTTGACATCTCAAGGTGTCTTAAGTACAAAAATGAGGAAAATCTTGGAGGTCATATTTTGACCTGGCGTTATACTTTTCCTCTGTTACGTATAGCAGCTGCAAAAGTAATAAATACGCTATTTTTAGACTGAAAAAATGCTTTCATCTCACAACTACCACGTGACTAACATTGTACACAAGATTTTGAGGAGCTTGCAAGAGTGCTGTGTTAATGGTTGTCAAACATAATTAATGTGATTCATTAAAATATCATTGTAAAATAAATAAGTCTTTAATGTATAATATTATTTATATTCAATGCTTTTTCTTAATGTATGAACCAAGTTCTATTTTATTTCAACAAGTCTTTGCGTTTTTATTTTCAAAATGAAATTCTTGTGCTAAAAATTGTCACACCGATTTGTTGTGACAACAAATCGGTGTGACAATTTTTAGCACAAGACGTTCAAGACGCTATTCCATTGAAAGAAGTTTAATTTGTACAATTGTATACGTTTTGTATATTTCGTTGAAGTGTCATTCAGTCGTTGTGTACCAAGTATTTATTTAGTAACATTATTATGATGTTTAAAGTAATAAAATTTCAATGTGCATACGATATAATATGCTAAATGGCCAAATTTTGGTGGTTCCTGCGTTATTTCTTCCATACGTTAATTTTTGAAAGAAATAATAATTTGTTTAAAAATCAGATAGAAATTCTGATAAGCATGAGTTAGTTTTTTTATTCAAATTATTTATAGTTGGCAAAGCACAAGAAATATTAATTCATGCGTCTACTACTCCATAGTTACCCAAATAATACGTTTTCCAAATGTTAAATAGTATTATAATGCATACTCAAAAAATATAAAAATTTACTATAAAAATAGTCGTAGCGTAATGAAAATTATATTTAATAAAATAAATAATTTTACGTACCAACAGGATTGTTATCCAAAAATGATATTGGAGTGCGAGTAATACAACGGAACATATTGTTGTGCAGCTTAGATGATGCAGCAGTCAAAAATTTCAACAATAGTAAGCCAGAAAGTGTCATCGTGAGAATTACTGCACATATCAGTCCGAAGTAAATATATACGTTCAACTCTTCACTATAGTATAATTCTGTATCTTCACTATTGTTAAAATTCGTTGTTTTAAACGTAAAATTTTGGATTTTTTCTGTACTTTGTCTATACTGATATTCAAACACGAAATAACAATTAAATATTTTAAATTTTTCAATATTTATTTTACATACAAGAATACAACAAAAATATTAAAATAATTAAAATATAGTAATACCTATCCGTAGTGTTAAGATATACCTGATGGACAAATTTTAGTACATCAGCTTTAATCATGAAATGATTTCAGTGCAAATTTAAGCAATTTTCCGGTAATTTGTCATTTAATTTATAGGTGTGAACATCATTTTTTTTTCTTACCTTGCCTCTGATGCTTTTTAAAATCATGTTTAATGGAATAATTTGGCAACTATACCCACACCAACATTCTACTATTCTGTGAAAACAATGTTAGAATCTATTTCTATAAAATTTCAGAGTGGAATAAGACATTGTGTGAGTGAAAGATTTTTTTGTACTGTTCACTATCATCAGTGGAAGATTTAGCACTTGAAAGGTGCAATTTAATTTAGAAACCATTTTCTAAGTATTTTCACTACTTTACAGCATGCATTCTATGCGCACGTTTTTTTACTCTAGGCACTGGTGGTTCAAAAAAGTGAGACAGAAAAATAACATTGCAATTAATCAACATAAACCCTGGTTGTATTTAAAAGCCTACTGATGTTCAGATTGTACTAATTATGAAAACTGAAACTTATTGGTACATGAATTATTACGCTTCAGTAGGTAAAAGTGTTAAGAACAAAAAATCTAATAATCCGTGAATATAAAAAGTAATTTCTTTTCTTTTAAATTTAATTAATACTGATTTGTATTTCAAACATCTAATAATCTACAAATAATAATAATTTATTTGTAAGTTATTATAATAGATTTCACTATTGTTTGGTAACTAATGGAAGACATTTTCAACATTTGTTTTAATTAATTACAATTCACATATCAGATTTCATCTTTTGGGATTTCGGAGAATTTTTTTTTGCTTCTGCAAATTGTTACTATGTCTTTAATACTATTATTAATTTATATATATATATAATTAGACGTGTGTGTCCCTATATTTCACTTTTCAGCCAAAATTACACATCGNGTAACTTTGTACAATAAACTTATTTGTCAACACAAACTATTTAACTAGAGCGTTTTTACTGTGTATATTATATATACACAGTAAAAACCGTAATATATGCTTATAAAACGCTAAGTATGAAGTTAAACTCATATAACAATTACAATTGCTTAAATTTCAACAATTTCCTTGTTATAAAAACGTAAAATCTTTAAGAAAGATTCTTCTTCAACTTTCCTTCAGTTTCAACGTCTGACATCCCTTAGTAAGATTTTACTGCAGAAAATTGGTATCCCTTTTATTTTAAGTGTTTCTACATACCTTATTTTAAGTGTTTACAAATATCTTATTATTATACTGTGTTTTCGCACATCGTAACAAAAAAACAAAAATGCAATTTTATGATATAGCATGAAAAGTGTATCCCAGCTGAAAGAGAACCTATTGTTTCTTGAATGCTTTATCTTGACGGTTTCATTATCCTGATGTTTTTCTCTTGTATTACCTTGACAGAGAAGGTACTGAAATAAGGTTTTAAAAATTTGGCATCTTATAAAGATAATTTGTTAATTATCCTTTCATTAATTAAATGCATGACAATGTTACATGAGTTTTTTCAAGAGGAAAATTTTATAAAGTTGTTTTCACAACACCTAACATGTAATAAATACGTAAATATTTGAGTTGCACAAAAGATATTACGAAAGTTGCGGCCGATGTTTACGAGGAGAGAACGTGTATGTCGGACGTTCTGCACCACCATCCTGTAAGCCTAGAAGTTAGACAACGGCGTTTGGAACGACGAGAATGATTCCACTGATGTTCCAACCGCCATTGTTAAACTTCTAGGCTTACAGGATGGCGGTGCAGAACGTCTAACGTACACGATTTCTCCTTTAAAACTTCAGCCGCAACCTTGCTAATAAACCAGCACGAGTTATTCAACTTTTCTGACAACATTACAAATTTTTGTACTGCGATTTTTTATCATATTTTATTTTAAAGCTTTTATGTTTTTAACTATTATAAAATGGCAAAAAGCTAAATTTTCAGGTAGGAATGGGTTAAATAAATAATTGTAAATGCTAATAATGAGAAAAATCGACATTATCTCCAATCTTACTAGACACACTCATAACTCCAATTATCTTGCACTTCTTGTCCTTTGAGCACCAAAATTTAATAGCATCAATCTGCTAATAAACAAACCTCCCTGAAAAATTTCATAAATTTTTGACAGAAACAACAGGAAATTTTAATCTTCAAACACGGTGAACAAATTCATGCTCTTCTATACACTATTTTCATACATACAGAAACAACCTACAATTTTTTTTCTTTTTTGCATTTTTTGACATCTCAAGGTGTCTTAAGTACAAAAATGAGAATAATCTTGAAGGTCATATTTTGACCTGGCGTCATACTTTCCCTCTGTTACGTATAGAAACTGGAAAAGTAATAAACACGCTATTCTTAGACTAATAAAATGCTTTTATCTCACAGCTGCCACGTGACTAACATTGTACACAAAATTTTGAGGAGCTTGCAAGAGTGCTGTGTTAGTGGTGTCAAACATAATTAATGTGATTCATTAAAATAACATTGTAGAATAAATAAGTCTCTAAAGTATAATATTATTTATATTCAATGCTTTTTCTTAATGTATGAACCAAGTTCTATTTTATTTCAACAAGTCTTTGCGTTTTTATTTTCAAAATGAAATTCTTGTGCTAAAAATTGTCACACCGATTTGTTGTGACAACAAATCGGTGTGACAATTTTTAGCACAAGACGTTCAAGACGCTATTCCATTGAAAGAAGTTTAATTTGTACAATTGTATACGTTTTGTATATTTCGTTGAAGTGTCATTCAGTCGTTGTGTACCAAGTATTTATTTAGTAACATTATTATGATGTTTAAAGTAATAAAATTTCAATGTGCATACGATATAATATGCTAAATGGCCAAATTTTGGTGGTTCCTGCGTTATTTCTTCCATACGTTAATTTTTGAAAGAAATAATAATTTGTTTAAAAATCAGATAGAAATTCTGATAAGCATGAGTTAGTTTTTTTATTCAAATTATTTATAGTTGGCAAAGCACAAGAAATATTAATTCATGCGTCTACTACTCCATAGTTACCCAAATAATACGTTTTCCAAATGTTAAATAGTATTATAATGCATACTCAAAAAATATAAAAATTTACTATAAAAATAGTCGTAGCGTAATGAAAATTATATTTAATAAAATAAATAATTTTACGTACCAACAGGATTGTTATCCAAAAATGATATTGGAGTGCGAGTAATACAACGGAACATATTGTTGTGCAGCTTAGATGATGCAGCAGTCAAAAATTTCAACAATAGTAAGCCAGAAAGTGCCATCGTGAGAATTACTGCACATATCAGTCCGAAGTAAATATATACGTTCAACTCTTCACTATAGTATAATTCTGTATCTTCACTATTGTTAAAATTCGTTGTTTTAAACGTAAAATTTTGGATTTTTTCTGTACTTTGTCTATACATTCTTTTGTTACGCAACCTGAAAATCAAACACGAAATAACAATTAAATATTTTAAATTTTTCAATATTTATTTTACATGCAAGAATACAACAAAAATATTAAAATACTTAAAATATAGTAATACCTATCCGTAGTGTTAAGATATACCTGATGGACTTCAGCTTGAATCATGAAATGATTTCAGTGAAAATTTATGCGATTTTCCGGTAATTTTTCATTGAATTTATAGGTGTGAACATCATTTTTTTTTTAATTTGGCAACTACATCTACACCGACATTCTACTATTCTGTGAAAACAATGTGAGAATCTATTTGTAGAAAATTTCAGAGTGGAAAAAGATATTGTGTAAGTTAAATATTTTTGTACTGTTCACTATCAACAATGGCAGATTTAGCACTTGAGAGGCGCAATTTAATTATGAATCCATTCTCTAAATATTTTCACTACCCTACAGCATGCATTCTACACGCACGTTTCATACTCTATTAGGCACTGATGGTTCAAAAGAGTGAGAAAAAAAAATAACATTGCAATTAACCAACAAAAATTGCAACTGCCTGGCTACATTTAAAAAGCTACTGATGTTCAGATTGTACTACAGTAGAGCGTCGATTATCCGAAAGTCAATCATCCGAAAAAATTCCAGTCAGCAAATTTAAATTTTCACCAGTGCTGTGGCGCTTCAAATCTTTGGCTATGTCTTGGGCTACTCAAATATTTTACGTTTTTGATACTAAATTAACTTCTGAAGTATATATTTTTTTCTTTTTATATTTTTCAATATATTTTGTTTGTACTAAATAAAAAAAATAATTTTTAACAATACAATAGTCTTCGTTAGGCTTAACATTGGCGAAAATTCAACGCGAAGCGACATGCAACGGAGAAAAATGTCAAGACGAAATGAATTAATACAGTATATTGTTTCGTACATAATCGGTTATTCGAAATATCGATTTTTTCCCGAACAATCCTAGTTACCAATTGATTCGGATAATCGACGCTCTACTGTAATATGAAAACTGATATTAATTAGTACATAAATTATTAAGTTTCGGTGGATAAAAGTGTTAAGAACAAAAAATTTAATAATCTGTNTATATGTATATAAATGGACGTGTGTGTACCTATATTTCACTTTTTAGCCAAAACTACACATCGCACATGAATGGTGTTTGTATGTGATAGTAGTCCCAAGTCATTCGTGCACTATGGTGGTTGCGTCTCGATAGCTATTAGGGTGCGGGAGATTTGGGGTTGAAAGTGGTCGAAAGTGGAAGATTTTCTATTTCGATTTTATTTTAACTATGTTCGAACTGTTTTAAATTCGAATTAGTTCGATTATAGAACGATTGTAAACGTTCCAGAAAATTAATCAAATTGAAAATAGATCGTTTGACTGGACGTAAACAGGAGACGTCCTGTCTAGAAACGGGGGACCTAATTCTTGCATTCTGTGAAAACGGGTAAGATTAGCTATAACGTAATTATCTTAATCTTCGCTATCATTACTTTTTGCCCAGTGAAGCGGATCCTTGCAGCTAGATTCTAGATTACTCAGAAAAACAGTCTTTTATATATATAAAAAACACTATTTTACATACAAATAAAAATCCAGCGAAGTGGGTCGTTGCAGCTAGTTAGAAATAAAATTTTTGTATAAATCTGATTTCACCTTATGGAATAAGTTAAATTTGTAACCTAATAAATTTTGGTAACTGCTATGTTTCTAGTATTTTCTGCTTATATTCTTCATGTTATAAAATATATACCTATTTTATATTAGGGCAAAAAATTCGTTCATTGTCTGTAGTACTGCTACCCACGTATTTATTGACAACATAACTGTTATTCTAACGTTATTTTAATATTATTAAGTTATTACATGTACTTACATGATAACAAAACAAATGTACTATACTTTTACACTAATTAAAACACCAAACAAATTTAATTACATTGTTATTTTCTGTCAGTTTCAATCAGTACATTAGGACGCTTTATTCTGTTAAAAGTTTTATTTTATCAAACATGAGTGTACGGATGTTTGAACGCGTTCATGAAGATGTGAATGCACATGCATTTTTTCATGTAGTAGTTTGTGATGGGTACACCTTGTCTGTGGTACAGTCAGTGCATCTGGTTCGAAATATAACGGCTAGTGTTGCCACCCACAAAACATGTTATATTTGGCGTTATTCATTTTTCAATCTTATTTAGGAAATGCTGCTAAATTATTAATTATTTTTATTATGAAAAAAGTAATAATTAAATGAAATGTTTTTTTTTCATTTTTAGAGCTGCATTTTGAGGTTTCCTTGATTTATGAGGCCCTAGGCGCGTGCCTCGTGCGCCTGTGCAGAAATCCACCACTGACTATAATGATCAAGTAGTATACCAACAACAGATTATAATTTACATACTTTGGAAAAGAATCTTTAAAACATCTTCACAATAAAATCATGATTTGTTAAGAAAAAATTTTGAATACATAAAGAACTTTTCTTTTTACTGATTTAACTTTAAATTTTAATATAANAAAAAATTAGATATAATTAGATATTTGAAATACTTGTGATATTTTAATAATATGATGTGATATTAATCATTTGTATGTTGTTGAACAATTTTTGTTTTTGAAAAATTCACATATGCTATTGACTGGGTTTTAGAAGAATAGAATTAATCTCTGTTTGTTGTTGTTGTTTCATTTGATTGTATAGAATTGGTACTCCCAAAATAGTTGATAAGGCATTTTTAGGGGTTGATTCATGATGTTTTATTAAAAATTATTAATCTAATGGAATATGTATATAACAGTTCAAGATGCAAATTTGCATTCTTATGTAAGTAGATCCTTTTTATGAGAATGGTGTTTAGATAGATTAATACTGGTTTAGCAAATTTATATATATATATAATCCATCATTATTGTCCCTATATTTCACTTTTCAGCCAAAATTACACATCGCACGTGAATAGTGTTTGTATGTGGTCGTAGCCCCAAGTCTCCATTCGTGCACTATGGTGGTTGCGTGTCGATAGCTATAAGGGTGCGGGAGATATGGGGGCTTAAAGTGGTTGAATTCAAAGATTTTCTATTTCGATTTTTAAAATGTTCGAACCGTTTTAAAATCGAATTTTATTCAAATTCGAATTTGAATTAAAATTCGAATTGGTTCGATTATAGAACGATTGTAAACGTTCCAAAAAATTGATCAAATTGAAATAAGTTCGTTTGACTGGAAGTAATAATTTCCTACTTAGTCTAGAAATGGGGAAACTAATTATTGCATTCTATGAAAACGGGTAAGATTGGCTATAATGTAATTATCTTAATCTTCACTATTGTTACTTTTTGTCCAGCAGAGCGGGTCCTTGCAGCTAGTTAGAAATAAAAGTTGTGTATAAATCTGACGTCACCTTATGGAATAAGTTAAATTCGTAACCTAATAAATTTTGGCAACTGCTATGTTTCTTGTATTTTCTGCTTATATTCTTCATGTTCTAAAATATATACTTATTTCATATTAAGGCAAAAAATTCGTTCCTTGTCTGTAGTACTGGTACCCAAGTATTTATTGACAACATTACTGCTATTCTAACGTTATTCAATTACACAGTTATTTTCTGTCAAACAGTATCAATATGTACAGTACACTAGGACTCTTTATTCTGTTATAAGTCTTATTCTATCAAACATGTGTGTATGGATGTTTAAACGCGCTCGTAAAGATGTGAATGCGCATGCATTTCTTCATGTAGTAGTTTGTGATCGGTACACCTTGTCTGTGGTACTCTCAGTGCATCCCGTTCGAAATATAACAGCAAGGGTTGCCACCCACAAAACATGTTATATCTGGTGTTATTTATTTTACAAACTTATGTAGGAAATGCTGCTAAATTTTTACAGTCGACCCCCCTATAACACGGTAGATACGTTCCGTTCTTTATGAATTGATTTCTTATGAGTCCTTGCCAATCCCAGCACAACACGTGTGAAGTTTACGGCCTACGGCTGTTTGAAAGGTTTTCTTCCATAAAATTAATCGATTCTAGACTAATTCGACTCAACATTTCCAAAATATGTATAATTTTTTGGTAATAATCCGTATAAACTACACTATAAACAAAAAATTGTAGGATTACTTATTCAGTGTGCATCGTTCGACATCGCCATTGCTCAAGCTTGTTTTCGTCGCGGAGCAATGCACCAAAACGCGGCCGCGATTTCTGATAAGTTATTTTTCTGCGGAAACTTCGTTGAACTTTGGAGACATCATTAATATAAATAATTTTTATGTCCGTTGAATAAGAAATGTTTCTTTCACAAGAAATGTTTAAAAGTACAGTATTGTATTAGACTTACGGTACCTAATTTACATACTGTACAGACGATAGTAAACAATTTACTCGCCTAAACTCTTTGTAGCGTGGCGCTGGACGGCGGAAAGTATATATATAATTATAATAAAGTTTTATGGCCGTTGAATAAGAAATGTTTCTTTCACAAGAAATGTATAAAATTACAGTACTGTATTAGACTGGCGGTACCTAATTTACATACTGTACAGACGATAGTAAACAATTTAATCGCCTGAACACTCCGTAGAGTGGCGCTGGACGGCGGAAAGTATATATATATATATAATTATAATAAAGTTAAAATAAATTAAGTTAATATATAATTATACATACAGTACCTAATTTATATATAATTTATATATAATACTGTACAGACGATAGTAAACTCAATTTACCCGCCTAAATTCTCCGTAGCGTGGCGCTGGACGGCGGAAAGTAGTTCGGCTGCCNTTTTCTACCAGGTTTGTACGGATACCGTCGCAATTTTTTCGCAGTCTTATAGGAATCGTAATTATAGGAACCGTGTTATAGGGGTCTACTGTAATTATTTTTATTATGAACGAAGTAATAATTAAATGAAATTTTTTTTTCATTTTCAGGGCTGCATTTTGAGGTTTCCTTGATTTATGATGCCCTAGGCGCGTGCCTCCTGCGCCTGTGCAGAAATCCACAACTGACAATGATCAAGTAGTAAACCAACAACAGATCATTATTTACATACTTTGGAAAGGAATCTTTAAAACATCTTCACAATAAAATCATGATTTGTTAAGAAAAGATTTTGAATACATAAAAAACTTTTCTTTTTACTGATTTAACTTTTAATTTTAATACAAAAATAATGTTATCTTCTTTATATTTATATGATGGATAAATATCTTTTAATTATTCATAATAATTTATTGTATGTTCTTTGGTACCACGCATAAAGTTGCTATTGAGAACTTATCACACAAGAGCACTTTTCTTGATAGAAAACATAAATTTTTATTATTTACAAAGGATTTCCATTTCAGGCTTTACACTTTTCTTAAGCCGTTTCGAGGTAGAATAGTAAAACTTTATAAGAAATTACAAAGTATATTTAATGATTCTTTATATTTAACTAATTTCAACTCACAAAAATTTCAAAAGGACTTACCTGAAGATATAATTAAAGTGACAACTGGAATAACTAATTAATAAAAACATGGGGTAAAAAAGTAAAACTAAAATAAATTTTTATTTCAATGCATATATTACTAATAGTATACTTTTTGAACATATTGAAATTATTAAAATAAACGAAATTATTCGAATGAATTTAAAACTGTCATCGTCATAAATGACATCTAGAAACCGTTACTACCAAAATAAGTACAATGTGTTTTTGCTCTTTTCTTTTCATCCTCTTTTACTTCAGTGTACCGTATAACGTATTAGATATTCTAATAAAGCATTTTCACGTTGTTTTTAAACAGTTTTCATAGGTTTTTTTTTCATTTTCTTTTTGAAACCGTGTCCTGTTTTATATTCGTGGCGTTGTGTTGTATGTGTGGCGTATTATATTTCAAAAAGAAAATCAACAAATCTACAGAAACTAGAAATGGCAACTCTCATCAAACAAAAATGCAAAGAAGCCAACACCAAAATCACAGAAAGGAAGAGAAAATACAAGTTGACTGAAGAGGGGCAAAGCCCGAAACGAGTACAAAACAATGTACCGAATCCACTCAACTAATAAAGGAATTTGATGGAAAATTTGCCATGTGTCTTTGGAATAAAACACAATACTAGTGTTTACTACGCCACAAAGTTTTCATAGGTTTTAAAGTTTTCATGTTTTCACTACCTTTATTAGTCACTCTTTGTATGTTTTAACCAAAATATTTTTCGATTTTTACAATTATTTATTTTATTATTATTTTATTATATTTATTTGTATGCCTATTCTTAACTTAATTTTAGTTTACTTATTATGTCACACTTTTTAGTAATTGGTTATTCTAGTTGTCATTTAGTTATATTTTAAAAAAAATTCAGTTTTAAACTTTTGTGACTTATGTATATATTACATATAAATGGTTATTAAATACATTTTGTAATTTATTGTATTGTTATACCGTTACATTATACGTAATAAAATAAGGACTGAAAAGTGGGATAAAGCTCAAAATGCATATCAGTTATAAATTATTAAAAAAAAATCTACTTTTTCCATCAAAAAAGTTGTTCTTGTGTGAATTAGAATTTTATGATTAGTTCCAATGAACATACAATATAATGTTGCTTTCAACAAACAACTTTAGTATTGATTCCAAAAAATATTTCATTTAAAATTCCGATCACATAATAAACTCGCATTTATCATAAAAATTGCATACCATATGAAAAGCCAATAGTCGCTGGCACTTAAAACGCATTGTGATACAACTATCAACAGTAATAAAAAGATCTTGAAAGAGAAACCTGCTCCTGCATTCATATACTCTTTATACACTGATGTTCCTACTTTTTCATTTTCTTCATCATCATGTGGTATTTTCTTATTTTCATTTTCCTACAGAAAATTTTGTAAAAAATTATACAAATTATTTTTTGGATTATGCCTGAATTCATAACAATATTCGAATAAATTCGAATAATTTTCGAAATAATGAATTGTACGATTTAATTTTTAAATAAAATTGTAAGTTAGATGTGTTATTCTTAATTGAGAATATTCTTTTTCTTCTAGTTATGTAATTACATATTTTATTTGTTTCTTGTTAGATAAATTTGAAAGTATTATTGGTAATTACATACTGATGATAAAGATGTATACTTGATGCACTAACTTAAAATAAATAAATTCAATTTGTAAAGTTATAAATTCTTCAGAAGCTGTAAACTTTTATTGAACTTATAAAAACTTCTTATTAAAAAATTTTTCATATAACGAAAATTAATGAGTATTATTAGGGATGTCCTTCAGGGAAACCCTAAATAAAGTATGGTATGAAAACAGTATGGAAACAGTATGAAAAAATGCATATTTAAAAAAAATTTATGAAAAAAAAATCGAGGGGAACGAAGTTGAACGAAGAGACTTCTCATGACTTTGTCTATGGACGTGAACAATATGACCATGCCCACATCCACTGAGCAGTAACAATTCAATTTTTTTTTCTTTCCACAAAGTCATACTTAACTTGTGAAGGGAAAAATTATAGTTTATGACATTTCATATATGTCCAGTCTTTAGGGAGTTCCTGTATTTATTAGTTAACAGTTTAAATGATGGCTCTGGCCATTTAATGTATGATTTTAATATATATGGTTTGATATACGTATTACACAATTAAATATTTTATAATGTGGTAGTATAAACTTATATTTAAAATCGCATAACTATGCTTTAATAAGGAATGAAGTATGTACAGGTAACCCCTTATAACATGGCACTTCTATAGCACGGATTCACTCTGACACAGTTCGAGAATTAAGTAAAACCCTCGTACAACATAAAATGTAATAAATTTTTACATACGTAAGTACTAATAGTTCACAAAAATTATTATTTTCGTAAACTATTAGTACATAAGTATGTAAATTTTCTTTTCTCGCCTTCTGTCCATACAAATGGTCCTTCTCGAAACTTGTATCAATGTTGCCAGATCTCAACACTTCTACTTCTGATGTTGCAAGTTGTTTTTCCTTTATTGCATAAGTGCTTAGCACTATATAAGGAAATTTATAAAGATTTTTTAACCAGAAGCAAGCAATCTAAAATTACATAATTTTTGCAAAAGGTAAAGCATGGATCTGAAGATAATGCAGAAAAATGCTCAGAGGATAAGGATAACTTGCCAAAAAGAAAACGCTCTCGGTTAATAGTGCTTTTAGCGATGACGAAGAAAACATTGTTCAACTTACACCTTTTAAAACCGAACCCGAGATAACTCGAGCATGTACCACAGCGTTACATAAAACTTGGTCGTTACGGCCCTCCGAAAAAATTTTATTTTTGGAAGAATATTTGGATGTTTTTTAAGTCTCCAAATTTTTGAAAAATTTTTTTCCGCGCGAAAAAATTTTATGGCGATTTTAATCTACGTTTAATTGTTTTTAATGGGATTTTTTTTAATCAAATTTCATTCATCGTTCTAAAGTTGCAGTGCACGTATTTTACTTCGGTAAAGATATTTAAAGCTAGTTTCTGATGACAAAAACGACCTCCAATAGTTTTTTAGTTTTTTTAATTAATAGATATTAATATATATGCGTTTATTTAAGTCGGGGGGTCGGAAATCGCAATTAAAATTTTAATTTTTAAAAAATATTTAAAAATATAGGTCTAGCTAGTGTTCACCCTACTTTAAACCCTTTGTTCCTCCGAGACGTCTATGAGAATGTTCCGGGAAGTCCAAAACAAGCTGTGTTCAAGATCATCCAGCTGTATACGCAATGACTCATCAGTGTGAGATTTTGCAGAAAGGCAAAACAATGGAAAATAAAGTTTAAAGCTTTTTCTTCAAAATTAACGCATTTCTTTCGTTTTTTTCAGTTTTAAGCACTTTTTATGTGTAATTACATTTGTAATTACATTAATAGGTATCACTTAAAAAAATTTTAATAAAAATATTTATCTTAATTATGATAATATAATAGTGTGTTTTTTTAACTTTTGGATCCTAACCCTTCTTTTCGTAGTTCTTTGTTTCGTATAACACGGATTCGCGTAACGCAGCAATTTTTTGGAACGTAACTGCCCTATTATACAGGAGTTACCTGTATTGAAAATAAGGAATGAAAACTGCCCCCTCTTATTTAAGCTACTCTGAAAAATTATTCATTCAAATAAGTATTTAATATATAAATATTTCTTACCACATTAACACTGTTAATATCTTTAATATCATCAGTAATAGTTTCAGTGCTTTCAATCCTTTCATCATCATTGAAAAGTANGTAATATAACACCCGACGTTATTAAATCAACCGTAGGGAAGTTTAAACAAACAGAACGTGCAAATTTGAAAATTTAATAAATCCCCCCTTTAAAACTTCCTTAATTATACAGTTTTAATACTTAATTAAAAATATAAATGCTAAGACGGCCGTAACGATTTTTGATTTTATATATATATATATATATATATATACTGTATAAAGGAGAATTCACGTTTGAATCATATTTAAATGAGAATCTACATTTGAAGTACAAAATAATCTATAAACCTTGGGGTTTGTACTTATTGTTTCCCCGGTTAACGTAGGCTTCCCTGCCAGTATATATATACCGGCAGAGAAACCGATGACATATATATGTTAGACTCAAAGACCGTAATCGCTCATTGAGCGAAAAATGACCACAACGCGTTGTGGTCATTTCAAAACGGCCAGGAAGCGAAATTCGTGTCGTGGCTACATGATGTTTGACAGCTACGCATTGTTGTGATTAAGAAAAGCCATAATGCGTTTTGAACTTCAGCTGATGCAACCATGATGCAAAGGATAAGTTGTAACTTCTCAACAAGCGCATTACAGACACTTATTGAGTTTTTATTGTGTTTATTTTTGACTTGTGCTGCCGTTTCTAGGGTAATTACCCTTTTCTAGAGTAATTTCGACATCTCAGAATTATGGCTGACAATAATTCACAGTAGTGGTCAGTAGGACTGCGATTTATTCAGAATAAAACGAACCATGCTCTCCGTTCGGCGATTAAGACAAATCCGTACGAAGCTATGTCTGGATTGCCATAAAAAGTCAGACTTGCAAATTTATCTATTACTATTGATATACAGTAAAACCTCGATTATCCGCCCCCCGATCAACCGACCCCTCGGTTAACCGACCGTCCTAGTTGGCAAATTTCAAATGTCCGCTAGTGATGTGGCGCTACAATATTTGGCTATGTCTTGGCTACTTTAATATTATTTTTACGTGTTTTAGCTGGCAACACTCATTCGACCATGAAAGGGAGCCAGTATTTAAACAAAGCTTAATTTTCTAATTTTTAACGATACAATAGCCACGATTATTATTTTAAAAAATTTTTGTTAGGCTTAACATCGATGAAAATTCAACGCAAAATAGGTTAATAGCGATATACTAATATACTAATATACTAATTACATGGGATATAATAATATACTACATTAATAATGGATTTTTTCATACTTTTCGGTTATCCGACTTTTCAATTATCCGACTAAACCCAGTCCCCAATTAGGGCAGATAATCGAGGTTCTACTGTATATGCTTTCGCAGAAAGTGAAAAAGAATTACAAAAACGACTTCTTTCTATCTCCAAAAATGATAATCAATAAAACCAGAACAACATAGATGATGGTAAATAGTTAAACGAAGTTAAGATTTAAATTTCAGAAAAATTTGTGTTATTTGTGGAAATAAAACCTCGGGAGCTTACAAGTGTTCAGTGTCATGAATATGTTCACGTTATTTGCGGAGAAAGCAATGAAAATGAGGGATTTCGTGCAGATGTTACTTTCAACCTCTGTTTAAAAAATAAGCATCAATGCTGAGAGAGAATATGGTAAATCAAACCTCGAAAAACAGTTACATAAAATGATTTTACTAACCAACTCAAAATTTTCTGCAGTTGAAATTGGTTCGAATGTTTTAGTTAGGGTGCCTGATGTTGATAGGGGACGTGCAGCACCCAGAAATGTTTTAGTTGTTGTTACGAGCATTAATCCATCAGATCTCTATCAGTTAGGAAACAACGACGGTCTTCTTGATCGACATTATGCTCGTAATGAATTTACAATTTCTGAGAATAACTATATTAACATTCAAGATGTAACCTCAAGTTCATTAACACTTCGCTCAGCATCCACGTTAATATCTGAAAGTAAGCAAAAGTTTATCGCTGTAAAAGATACTGTATTGATAAATAATGCAAATTTCACTCAAAGAACATAAGCTGCAACTCGATATGTCATGGTAATAGTTCTTGTAAAAATAAATAACTCTGAAACATTCTTGATTCACATAAAAAAAGACTAATTTTACTAATAACAGTTCCTGACAAAGTAATTATTTTTATTAAATTAGTTGTTATAAAACGTTGACGAATCGAGCACATCGCAAAAGATTTACATAAATAATTGCATGTTGTTTGAAAGTAACCAAGTAACCTAAACTAACCAGAACGCGTAGTAGTAAAAAATCGTGAAAGCCATGACACGAATTTCGCTTTGTGGTCGTTTTGAATTAGCCACAACGCGCTTGGTCGGTTTTGTTTTCGCTTTGTCGATTGGGTCTTTGAGCCTATCATATACATGTATACACGTAAAAATGTATATAAACAAATTTTTAGCTAATAAATTAAATAGTGCCAACGTATTTTTAAGAAATTTACGAGTAACATATAACCAATCTAATATATAATCGAGACAGGTTGATGATAATAATAATAATAAGCGCAGAGCCCAAACGGTTAGGAGTTGAAAGTTGAAATTTGGTACACAGTTAGGGTATGTCACGAAAACGCACAATAAGAAGAGATTTTTCGAAATTTTCCCCCGGGGGGAGAGAGACAGGATTAAAACTTCTATATACATTATGGATACGAGCCCAAACGGTTAGGAGTTGAAAGTTGAAATTTGGTACACAGTTAGGGTACGTTAGGAGAACGCACACTAAGAAGGGATTTTTCGAAATTCCTCCCCACGGGGGAGAGGGACAGGATTAAGGCTTAACACTTCCATCAACAATGGAAGTGTTAAGTAACAATGGAAGTGCTAAGTAACAATGGAAGTGTTAAGTAAAAATGGAAGTGTCAACAACGGAAATGCTACGTAACAATGGAATTGTTAAGAGAAAGCGACGTGAAAAACGCAGATGCAGTTTTTTTTCGTTTTTGCGAGAAATCGAACATATTTTCAGACCCATCTAAAAATTCTCTAATTAGTGTGGAAACAAGGGGACCCAATTCTTGCATTCTGTGAAAACGGGTAAGGTTTACTGTAACGTAATAATCTTTTTCTTAGTTATCGTTACTTTTGCCCGAGCAATGCCGGACCCACCTGCTAGTTACAAATATATTTGCAAATGCATTCTTTTAAGTGCTGATACTATTCATATTTATTATTCGCTGTCATAAACAAGAAAATATCACGGTTTAATCTCCCCAATGTCTAAGAACATAAAACTCTCTATACAATAGTATTGATAGTTTGTCCTTTAAAACATACTTGTTCAAGTAGTTGTCCACATTTTCATCTTAAATCTAACAATGGAATAAAGCTCATTTTCTCAAAATCTGTCTATCCGAAGCAATTTTTTTGTTGGCAGATAGCCTATATATTAAATAACATTTATTGCTAATCATCTCCATATTCATATGTTATTTTAACAATTCAAAAAAAAATTCATGAGTTCTGTTATTGTGAAACATAAAACGTTTTAACGTATTGTTAAAAAGAAGATAATATCATTTAAATTTGAATCATAATTAACAAATAAAACTAGTTAATACAGTATATATATCTACCTTATTTAACACTAAAATTTTACTTGCAGGGTTTAAAAACTGTACTTGATGTGTAACTAAAATGCAAATCTTATCTTTTAAATGCTCCATTATACATCTGAAATAAAAGAAAAGTTAAAATATATTTAAATATTTCACAAATAACACTTAAATATTTACTTTTCGAATATATGTTTTGCCACTGGAACATCAACCGCACTTAGTGGATCATCAAGAAGGAATATATCAGCATCGAGATATAGTGCTCTACAAAGAATAAAAATATAACATAAGGATAAAATAAATATACAAAAAAATGCAACAAAAATTGTTCAAGCATAAGAATTAAACCTATATTAAATTTTACAGATTGTAATCTTTTTGCACAGTTAATTTTATACCAGTTTTCATTCCACTCCTATCTGAAGTTGTTTCATTATTAGAAACTAGCAGATAAGCCCGGCGTTGCTCGGGCAAAAGTAACGATAACTAAGATAAAGATTATTATGTTACAGTCAACCTTACCCGTTTTCACAGAATGCAAGAATTGGGTCCCCTTGTTTCCAGACTACTGTAGAACCCCTCTAGTCCGCCCTCGGCTAGTCCGTCACTCCGGTTTCCCGCAAAAACGAAAAAAACTGCATCTGCGTCTTGCATGTCNCATTCATATATTCTTTATACACTGATGTTCCTACTTTTTCATTTTCTTCATCATCATGTGGTATTTTCTTATTTTCATTTTCCTACAGAAAATTTTGTAAAAAATTATACAAATTATTTTTTGGATTATGCCTGAATTCATAACAATATTCGAATAAATTCGAATAATTTTCGAAATAATGAATTGTACGATTTAATTTTTAAATAAAATTGTAAGTTAGATGTGTTATTCTTAATTGAGAATATTCTTTTTCTTCTAGTTATGTAATTACATATTTTATTTGTTTCTTGTTAGATAAATTTGAAAGTATTATTGGTAATTACATACTGATGATAAAGATGTATACTTGATGCACTAACTTAAAATAAATAAATTCAATTTGTAAAGTTATAAATTCTTCAGAAGCTGTAAACTTTTATTGAACTTATAAAAACTTCTTATTAAAAAATTTTTCATATAACGAAAATTAATGAGTATTATTAGGGATGTCCTTCAGGGAAACCCTAAATAAAGTATGGTATGAAAACAGTATGGAAACAGTATGAAAAAATGCATATTTAAAAATAATTTATGAAAAAGAAATCGAGGGGACTAAGATCAGTTGAACGAAGAGACTTCTCATGACTTTGTCTATGAACGTGAACAATATGACCATGCCCACATCCACTGAGCAGTAACAGTTCAATTTTTTTTTCTTTCCACAAAGTCATACTTAACTTGTGAAGGGAAAAATTATAGTTTATGACATTTCATATATGTCCAGTCTTTAGGGAGTTCCTGTATTTATTAGTTAACAGTTTAAATGATGGCTCTGGCCATTTAATGTATGATTTTAATATATATGGTTTGATATACGTATTACACAATTAAATATTTTATAATGTGGTAGTATAAACTTATATTTAAAATCGCATAACTATGCTTTAATAAGGAATGAAGTATGTACAGGTAACCCCTTATAACATGGCACTTCTATAGCACGGATTCACTCTGACACAGTTCGAGAATTAAGTAAAACCCTCGTACAACATAAAATGTAATAAATTTTTACATACGTAAGTACTAATAGTTCACAAAAATTATTATTTTCGTAAACTATTAGTACATAAGTATGTAAATTTTCTTTTCTCGCCTTCTGTCCATACAAATGGTCCTTCTCGAAACTTGTATCAATGTTGCCAGATCTCAACACTTCTACTTCTGATGTTGCAAGTTGTTTTTCCTTTATTGCATAAGTGCTTAGCACTATATAAGGAAATTTATAAAGATTTTTTAACCAGAAGCAAGCAATCTAAAATTACATAATTTTTGCAAAAGGTAAAGCATGGATCTGAAGATAATGCAGAAAAATGCTCAGAGGATAAGGGGATCTGAAGATAATGCAGAAAAATGCTCAGAGGATAAGGATAACTTGCCAAAAAGAAAACGCTCTCGGTTAATAGTGCTTTTAGCGATGACGAAGAAAACATTGTTCAACTTACACCTTTTAAAACCGAACCCGAGATAACTCGAGCATGTATCACAGCGTTACATAAAACTTGGTCGTTACGGCCCTCCGAAAAAATGTTATTTTTGGAAGAATATTTGGATGTTTTTTAAGTCTCCAAATTTTTGAAAAATTTTTTTCCGCGCGAAAAAATTTTATGGCGATTTTAATCTACGTTTAATTGTTTTTAATGGGATTTTTTTTAATCAAATTTCATTCATCGTTCTAAAGTTGCAGTGCACGTATTTTACTTCGGTAAAGATATTTAAAGCTAGTTTCTGATGACAAAAACGACCTCCAATAGTTTTTTAGTTTTTTTAATTAATAGATATTAATATATATGCGTTTATTTAAGTCGGGGGGTCGGAAATCGCAATTAAAATTTTAATTTTTAAAAAATATTTAAAAATATAGGTCTAGCTAGTGTTCACCCTACTTTAAACCCTTTGTTCCTCCGAGACGTCTATGAGAATGTTCCGGGAAGTCCAAAACAAGCTGTGTTCAAGATCATCCAGCTGTATACGCAATGACTCATCAGTGTGAGATTTTGCAGAAAGGCAAAACAATGGAAAATAAAGTTTAAAGCTTTTTCTTCAAAATTAACGCATTTCTTTCGTTTTTTTCAGTTTTAAGCACTTTTTATGTGTAATTACATTTGTAATTACATTAATAGGTATCACTTAAAAAAATTTTAATAAAAATATTTATCTTAATTATGATAATATAATAGTGTGTTTTTTTAACTTTTGGATCCTAACCCTTCTTTTCGTAGTTCTTTGTTTCGTATAACACGGATTCGCGTAACGCAGCAATTTTTTGGAACGTAACTGCCCTATTATACAGGAGTTACCTGTATTGAAAATAAGGAATGAAAACTGCCCCCTCTTATTTAAGCTACTCTGAAAAATTATTCATTCAAATAAGTATTTAATATATAAATATTTCTTACCACATTAACACTGTTAATATCTTTAATATCATCAGTAATAGTTTCAGTGCTTTCAATCCTTTCATCATCATTGAAAAGTGCAGTCTCTAATTCCATCCTATTTTCAGTGATTTCTTTCTCTGGTAATATTTCTGTAAGCATTTCTAAACTTTCCATTTTATTGTAATTGCCAATAAACTCGCATGTTCCCTGAAATAAATTAATAATATATCCGAATATAATTGCTTCTATGTTTTCATACAGTATATATATATATAACATATACAGTATACAGTGTATATATATATATATATATATAAGATGGTTTGTCAGTTTTATATAGATATCAATTTTTATGGCTTTATATTATATAGTATGAATAGTGTAATCTGTTTGGAATGAGATGATTTAAAAATGCTTTGGGGTCCACCAGTGGCCAAGTGATCTTCGTTCCCTGAACACTGGGAGTTTGGTCATGGGTT